TGATTTATAGCTTGTCTGAGAACACCATCTCAAAGATGGCGCACCCTCCATTGAGCGGTCCGTCTTCCTGTCACCCCCCGCTTTCCTTTCGGCCAGGTCAGGTGCCAGCTCGTTGCAGCGATGCCAAATTTTGGCATATTAATGTGTGGGTGTTTGTGTTTATGAGATCAGGGAGGGGTTGGCGGCGGTCGGGGGGCATCGGCAGTTGGCAGGCTGGCACACAAAGGCTGGCACGATAAGATCCTCCCTCTTCTGCGGGCAGATTTTCTCGCCCATATCTTTTGTTTGGGTTGTTTGGGTTGCAGCTCATCCTGATAAAGGCCACTTTGTTTAGACAACAAAGCGCAAGGGAGGGAAAAAAGACGAAGATAGAGAGACAAAGAGATAGAATGAGAGAGGGACGGGGGGTTGTTTAATAAAGAAGGCAAACGAGGAAAGGGGGGGCACCAAAACAGATGGAAACCTTAAAGGAAAATAGAAGACAGATAGGGGAAGAAAATTCAGGAGAAAAAAAAGATGTAGCATGAGCTTTTCGGCGGATAAGATACACTGAATAGTAGATGTACACACGTGAAAAAGATACAATGGAAAAGGGATACAGTTGCAGGCACAGGGACAGCGATAGGCAGATAGCGAGGAGAAGAAAGAAGGATCTGGGAGAAGGGAGCAGGTTCTGCTGGCTGTTTGGAATCCAGCCCAAGCAGTGTGAGGTCATCATCGAAGCTGTGAATGATAGAAACCAGGAGCACAAGAGGACATGAGGCAAAGTACACACACACACATACACACTTTACATACCAGCACATGTACAGTCAGAGAGCGGCGTGGCCCTCCTGCACATGCACTTACGCCTGCAGGTTTCCAAGGAAGGACAAACTTTCCGGAAGAGGAGAAAGTCTGTTTGGTCGCCTCAAATATTTACTCAGGAGCAGATGTATTGTCGAAACATTACGCATCAGAGCTGCTCCATAATTAGGTGGATATTTTTCTCCCTGCCTTGCCGGGAGTCCACCCCCACCTCCCCCCACCCCCTTTCGCCTCCCCGGGGCTGCTGAAATGCATCTTGGCTCGGGACCCGCGCCTCTGGCAGCCAGAGCGCTATACATGTGCACAGAACCCTGCTCGGCATATAAAATGGCTGCCAGACAGGCTTTCTCCTCCTGAAATGTCGACAGCGGTATGCATCTGCAGGGCGTGCGTGGGACCGAGCCGAGCGCGTGCGTGCTTTGCTGTTTCTGAACGTGTCTGCAAGTGTTTGCGGGCTAGAAAAACTCGCGCCGTTCCTGTTAGGGAAGGAGAAGAGAAAAAAAATAACAAGAAGAAGGAGAGAAAGTTTCCCAAACTATGTGGCTAATTTAACCCACACTCTCTTCATATGTTTGTGTGCGTATGTGCTCCACAACTTGGTGGGAACGGAATGGGTTCAGAGCCAAAAAAATCGAGGAGGAGGGTGGGTTGGAGCCAGAGTGTGCGAGTGTTTCAGTGATTATAAAATCCAGGCGAGTAACACACTTGGGTGTGGAGAAAACCTCATAAGCACTCAGAAACTTTCTTGCCGAGCCAGATTTCTGTTGCCATTACCACTAATTGCCCTAATCGTTACAGTGGTATGATAAGTATCCCACCGGACAAGAAGGTGTAAGAACTCGTGGACACATCCAAAAATACCCACAAGCCTCTTCTGCTGCTCCCTTCCAAGCCCCCCCCTTCCTTTTTTTTCTTTTCCTTATTGCTGAGTAACAGCAGATAATCTGATTCAAACGCGTTGCTGTTTTTCCCCTTCCTTCATGAACCGGTCTGTTTATTTAAACAAGTGGCGGGGGATGGAGGGTGCCAAGAAATGTTGTTTTTGGAAAAGAGCAAACGTGTGTTTATCTGTTTGTGAGTCTGTGTGTGTGTGTGTGTGTGTGTGTGTGTGTGTGTGTGTGTGTGGTATGTGGCCCTGCCAAGCTCTCAGGGCAAAGCTGGGACTTCTCGACCGCAACTGTTTATTTACAGGTTACACTACTGTTTATTTGAAGACTATCAGATTGGCCGGACTTCTGCAAAAGACACCTTTTAGATGGACATAGCAGGGCCCCAGGCTCCTAATAACTCAGGTCTCCACTGTACTGTATCTGAGCAAACGTAAGAAGAAAAATGAACCCAGAGTTTTCCTGCATCTAAATAAAAGAAAAAGTGAATCTACTTCATTAATTCAATAAACAAAACTGTGACCTGACTTATAAGTATTTGTCCATTCGATTTTTTTTTTAGTTCATGTATTTTTTGTCTCTAATCTTCAAAAAAAATTAGATATAAAAATAACCCGACATGCAACAAACCAGTTTTCTAATGATGGCTTTAAAACAACTATAAAAAAAAGCGCTTTGATCTAAAGAAATTCATACCAGATGAGAAACAGTTGATTCTTTTTTTTTTTTATATTATATTATAAATGTATTACGATCCCAGGTGGGGAGGAAAGAAGAGTGCGTAATGCTGCCCTTCTTGTGTCAAAGGTAGAATGTAATGCAGTAGGGGAGGTGTTCCCGGCTCTGGTGCAGGCCTGGCAGATGTGCCATATGCTTGCATCCCACCTTGAGTCATCCAGGTGGTCTCTCCTGGTGCTACAGCGGGGCCTCATGCTGGAAGATGCTGCCTGCGATCTCTAATTGCCGAGGCCATCTGCTCTTTTTGTCATGCTTGCCTGTTCGGCTCACAGAGAAGTAGGGGAAGATGAAAAAAACAAACAAAATGCAAAAAAAAACTCTGATCTGATCTAACTGTGCCGAAACGTCCCCGTCTCCCACCTTCTGCTCCACCTCTCTTTACCTCGCCGCTGCTCTTTTTCTCTCCGCCCGCCTGTGTCGCTCCCTCTCAGCACTTCCCGGGGAGCAGGAGTTGGCAGTCGTATAAGTAGACTGATGGATGACTCTGAAAGTGGAATAAAGAGGGGGCGAAAGGGGTGGGGGCGTATGCCAAGTTCCCTGCAATCACTTTATATGCTACAGTAAGTCTACGTAAACCTTTACTTACCAACAAAAGCTCATTTAAACAGTGTGTTTGCATGTAGAAATCATTTTACTGATGCGAAACAAAGGAACTGCTTGGACTTGACATGTAGAACCTCCAATACTGCGTTAAAGAGGCCTTATCTTTAGGTAAACTGGATTTTCTTAGATCTTAGCCTTTCCAATACTTTTTTGATGCAGCTTCTATGCATATTCTGAAAAACAAAATAGTAATTTCCTATTCTATTGCTAGAAAAATCCTTAAAATAAATGTTATGTTAAAATGTTTATTGCAGGAGTATAATTTAACACTGAAAAAAATATATATTTAGAAAAATCCAGCTTATTTAAAAACATTTATTCAGTGCAGATTAAATGGCCCATTGTAAAACAATTCATTTACATAAAATGATATTTAGTGCAAACCCAAATAAGTCATAGAAATTAAATGTTTGAGCATTTTCGAGTTTGATGCGATTGAATTGACTCTGTAAACTGTCTTGGGATGACAGGTGTTGTGATTTGGTGCAACATAAATAAAGTGAACTTACATTTCCCTCGGATATAGATATGCAAAATTGTGTCTGTGGTTGAAAAAAGTTAGTCAGGTTGAACAAATAAGGCAAATCTAAGCTAAAAATATGAAATTCCAGTCTATTCCCAGGACTGAATAAAAGCAGAACATGTATGTGATGCCCCTCAGATCTCTTCCAATGGAAATGATCACCTTAGGCTCATTCCTTTACCTGTTTTGGTGGCAGGTTTAAAGTCTCTAACTTGTTCATTACTCATTTGTTTTGTAGGTCTAAGTATGCTGAAAATAGATGATATTTTCTGCTTAATGTATGGTCCTTTTCCCCCTCCCCACTTTGTCATCGTTGAGCTCCAGCCAAGAACATTCTGTTTTTGCAGCGCTGTTTAATAGTCAAATTTAGGAGCAGGGGAACAAGACGGAGCGGGAGAGCGACACGGAGAGCGAACTAGAAAGGAATAAATCTCTTTGGACCCCCCCCCGCCTCCCCATCTCCATCTCCCTTCCCCTCCACCAACCATTTTTTTTTTCCTCCCTATTACACAGCTCATAGGAGCTGCGACGGGAAAGCGGGTGTTTTTGCAAGGCGAGGGTATCTGAGTTCACCGTCTCTCGCTGCAGCCTCCTCGCCTCTCATGTTAAAGCCGTCACATGTTGAAGGTGTAGATGATAATCTCCCTTCTGGTTCTCATTCTGTTTCGGGGCCATGTGTGGGCTTAGGCCGGTGAGGGGGGGGAGTCCTTCTCCCTCTCAGGACGCTACCATTAACCCCTTGGAATGACTCGGTCCGATTTAAAACCCCCGAGTCACTGTTCCTGTAGGTGGAAATCTGAGAGCGATTTATGTCACGTTTTTTTTATGTTTTACAACTTTTGAAGAAGAATAAAGATCCTAGCACTTGTCAGAGACTGACCTTGAACTAGAGAGGAGTGATATACTGTATTTCCCGCCCCCTTTCTCTGTTTCCCTGCTTCCTGCTGAGGCTCCTGAGGTAAAAGACGTCAGTCATACCAAATCCTGCGCACTGTAGCTGGTGGAAAGAATTCAACTCATGTTTCCTTGTGTTTCTCCACCCCTCCCTGTCCTCTCTTCCCCTTTTTTTTCCCTCCCCACTAATGTTCTGTGCTTGTACCTTGCACAGCAGGGCCGAATGCATTCTGAATCCCCTGCTCCCCTGAAACCCCTAAAAAAAAATAATGAAGTCGAGAAAACTTTAAGGTTCTCCTTCATCAGACTCTGAGCTCCTTTCTATTAATTATTATGCTGTACAAAAGCATTTTTCACTGGTACAGTAGATAAGAGGAACCCTTCCTGTCTTATTTTATGTTTAAAGTATTTTTTCTCACATGTTTTTTCTTTACGCTTTAAAATAATGCAATACTATGAAAACCTCGGATCCAAAAGGCTCCAAATGTCCAGATTCATTAAGTGTTTTCCTATACTAACCCTCCACCCTTTTCTTTCTGTGTCTGCAGACTCGCAGCAGTCAGGAAGTCCCAGCAACAATGAGCCAGGCAAAACCCCTCTTCCAGGTATGTGGAGCGCCGCTCGTCCTCCCACCCTCCTGTCATCTTTTCATTGTTCCTCTCCGGGACGCAGAAGCTTTATGTACACCAAACCTCCTCTAAATCCTGCTTGGGAACGCCGTGACTGGCAGGCGGGAACAGCGGCGTGCCTCTTAGGGCTGCAGGCCTACGTGCAGAGGCATGAGCTGCTGTCAATTCTGCAAAAAAAACACATCATGTGTGGCGGAGGTTTTTGTGTCAACACGCTCATTGTCGCGCTTATGAAATCAACGCATTAAATCTAAATGATGACAATTCCTATTTCAAAATCGAATTCGCCTGTTATGATCGAACTGAACGCGTCACACGGGGACAGTTCTATTTTAAATGTTACAAAAGACGGGGTATAGTCTACGTACTTTCCCCCGGTCTGACCTGTGCCGTGTCGTCACAATGTTGGAATGCAAATAGTTTCTGAAGTATAATTAGTTTTGTACTTCAAGAGCAGGTTCTGCCGACGCTGGTGCCAAAGAAAACATGCAAGGCGAGCCAGTGACTCAGGCTTTGGAGGCCCTCAGTGGGTGGCACGGTTCCTTGCAGAAAATGTTGGCTTACGAGCGGCGTTGTGCTTCGTAGGTGCCAGTGGAGATATTCCTAGGTCTTTCTGGCAGGTTCTGATTGACCTCGGCCCGTTAATCATAGCAAAGACCGCATTGGTTATTAGAGACCTGTTTGGCTGCTTTGCTTGGCCGCCAAACTCTCATTGCTGTTGCTAATTCCCTCTGGGTCAAACAGGTGTCAGTGAGTGCACCAGAGCTGCAGATATGGTTATTATATACATGTAAGGGCTGACATTAATTCGACTGATGAAGAGAAACGTTGAACCATGAAATCCACAAGAACTAGAGGAGTTTTTCTTTTTCATAAATAAATCTGATTTTTTTTTGGTAAATATTCTAAACAGGATTTAGGATTTAAGGAGAACAAAAAATAAATCACTTTGTGCATTGTCGTGATTAGAAATAAGATTAAAATACCACTAACTTTGTTCAAATGTGTTTTTTTAATCAGGATATATATATATGGTTTCTTGTAAACTTAGCCATAGCCTATTAAGTTTTCTTTTTTTCACGTTTTAAACCACCAGCTTCAAAGTAGTTTTTTTTACGTTACGTAAACCAAATCATGGTAGGAAAATTATTGTTAAGTGGAAGATTTCCAAACTGTCAAAGGCAGCTCTGAACTGATGGGTTTTTAACTTTGACTTAAAAGAACTCAGGCTTTTAGCACTTTTACAGTCTTCTGGGAGTTTGGTCCAGATAAGTGGAGCATAGGAACTAAATGCTGCTTCTCCATGTTTGGTTCTAGTTCTGGGTGTACAGAGTAGGCTTGGATTAGAAGATCTGAGTGGTCTGGGAGGTTGATACACTGAAAACAGATATTTTATGTATTGAGGAGCTGATCCAGTGATTTATAGACTAACAGCGGGATTTTAAAGTCTATTCACTGAACTACAGGGAGCCAGAGGAAGGACTTCAGAACCGGGCTGATGTGCTCTACTATCTTCATTCTAGTGAGAACACTGGCAGCAGCGTTTGGGGTCTGCAGCTGTCTGATGGACTTTTTAGACAAACCTATGAAAATACTGTTGCAGTAATGAATTCTACTAAAGCTAAATGCATGAATTAGTTTTTTCTAGATCCTGCTTGGACATAAGATGAGCAATAGAATAAAATACATTTTCAAACTTAGGCCACTGGTTAGTTGCGCTGTTTACAGAAGACGCAGAGGGCTCCCCACGTGGGTGACCCCTGGTCTAGAGACTATAATTTTTGTTAGAGAGCATTTTGATCGTTATTTTTCAAGTTTGTCCACAAATGGTCAATCATGCTTATGCCTTTTATGACCTGGCTATTCTACACACAAATATATTTCAATTGGATATATTTCATTATTTCACCCTCTTCTTTTTCCCTGCTAATGAAAGGCATCCATGATTCTGCCTTTATCCAAGTTTTTATAATCTGGATGTAATTTTAGTCCAGGGTGATCCTCGATGTTTGGAGTTTGTCCCGTTTTGCTCGGTCCCCAGAAATTAAATTACACACAGGTGTTTCTGTTTACTGATTGGGCGACTACTAAAGGCTTTTGTATTTATAGCTATCTGGGGGAAAATATCTTAACTTAGATGCATGTAAATTTTAAAGTTTAGTAAATGTTTTGAAATTACGAGTCTATATTTTACTTTCATCAAATCCACATGTATATGGTTCCTTTTGGTTCCTCTTTAGTTATCTTGTAAAATTTCTCAAAAGGCTGAACTTATATTCTCAGCTGTAATGATGTCCATTTATCTCCTCTGTTTCTGCAGTGTATTTGGAGGACAGCTTCATCAAATCAGGAGTTTTCAGTGTTGCAGAGCTGGTGCGAGTCTCCAGAAGTGAGTACATGCTTCCATGTTTTTCCTCTTTGCATACCTGCAGCAATTTATTCTTTGTTGAGCTTGTCTGACGTAGTTGGACAGTCTTAAGAGTTTGCGTGTAGAAAGTGTAACAGGTGCATCAGAGCTGATGTCAGAGTCAAATTGCATCGACTAACATAGCAGTTAAATGAGTGTGATCAGGTTAAAAACGCAACTGAGCGTTTGTGCAGAAAGCTGTGGGTTTATGTTTTTCCATATAAACTGTAAGAGTTGACGCAGAAAAGCCCTTGCCTTACAAAAAAAAAGAAAAGAAAAGAAACAGCTTTTCTTTGTAATCTGGGTACCAACTGAAATCACTGCGCACAGCTGTGCTGCGGCGAATCCAGTTTAGCCAGTCTCCTTTGCTTTAGGATAACTCTTGAGTGTGCAGCTGTCTTCAGGGCCTCAACACACACACACACACACCCACACACACACACACAGAGCTGTTGACGGTTGTTCTCCAAAGATTCCTCTGACAGCCGGGGGCACGTCAAGGTACCGTTTACCTGTGCAGACTCTGAGCTGAGGCAGCAACTGTAGCAAACATGCCTGCGGAGCACAAAGACTCCAGTCACCCCCTCCTCCTCCTCCTCCTCCTCCTCCTCCTGCTCCTCCTCCTATATTTAAAGGAAACATGCCGATGCTGTGTGGCTTGTGTGTTGCAGCATGCAGCAGCCAGTTCCAGCGGTTCATTCCTGCTCTATAGTCAGGAATGTCAGTGCTCTTTCAGGACAATCGGAGGCTGCAGTCAGGCTCAGATTATATGACTAGCTTAAGAAATCACTTTCAGTATGAAGGCATTCTTGACAAGACCTCAAAGTAAATAGCGTTCTGTCCCCTTTACTTTTCAGTTTAGCGAAATGAATCTCCCTGATGCAGTTTTAAGGTATCAGAGTGTTGAACTTTTTCTTTATAAAACCTGATTTGTTCACAGGCTCATTCATCCTTGCCATTGCTCAAGGAAGAGAACTTTCCATTGATGTACAATAGATTTCTACCTAAAGATGTAATAAATTCTTTACATTAACTATAACCATTTTTCCACAGTGGTGTCCGAAACAGGACAATATGGCCTTCAAGTTTACGCAAGCATAAGATTTTATTGTTTAACATCCTAAACATATTCTAAATAGATACATTTAAGTTTTCCATACCTATAAAAGGTGCTATTCCATTAACCATCAAACTATCCAAATTTTAATTATGGAAAAACTGCAAAAAAGATAACCAATAATAAAGAAAACACTCTTCAATAAAAAATTCAATCAGGTGATTTTTTTTTTGTCATGTTAAAAGTCTTATATTATGAAAAACTGCTATGAAAACCTTTTTTTTTCTCATCACAAACGTCACATAATCTGCAGTTCTTAGATGAACACTGGAAACAGTTGAAGGATAATGGCGGGGCTGAACTATTGATATATCTCATGTGTTTTTTTAGTTATTGCATGAACAAACATTCATATGAAGAGTTTTTGCCTAGTGGGTTAGAGCAGTGTTCTTGAGCTCTGAGAAAGCTGCAAGTACCCGTTTTAATCCCCACAGTCTGCAATCTGGGTTCTTGAGCAAAACCCTTAACCCCACTCTGCTCCCCGGGCGCCACACAATGGCAGCCCACTGCTCCACAAGGGGACGGGTGAAATACAGAGAGTGAATTTCCCCACTCTGGGGCAATAAAGGGATTTATACCATGTATTTTTGTGCAACTTTAATTGTATCTTTTATTTAATGAAAATACAAAAATTGCAAAACCTTGCTTTTTCAAATTTGGCAGAATACCATCATAGTTTTGCTCACTCGGAAACTCAGCCACAGACAAAAAGCTGTTGCTAACTTGAGGTAAGCCTATACAGTTATGTCTAAAACCATTCATACCCCCTAGCAAATTTGGATTCAAATTAACCCAAACGTTTGCCAATGATTTGAAGTGAAACTGTTAAAAAGAAAACATAAAAGTGGTGGAAATGTTTTATCATTTCTTTTTACCGGTATTTTAATACTGATGGAAACAATTTAGCTTCAAATCTTTTTGGCTGGTTGTCACCCTAACTTTTAGCTGCCCTGATGGAGTATTAATAAGCTTTAAATCAGGACTTTGGCGAGTTCCCCCCCTGACTTTTGGATAAATTTTAGTAATAAGAACAAACATGTTCAACCTTAATCTCCCAGGGGTATGGATATTTTTGAGCTTCATTGTATCAAATGATACAGTGAAGCTCAAAAATCAGGTTAAAAGGTCAGCAAAGAGGTACAAATGAGTCAAAAAGTAATCATTTCTTAGAAGAGAGTCATAATAGACTTTATTGAAACTAGAAATAGCAAAGAACAACTTTAAATGTAGTCTATATAATATTTATATAATAGAAAAGTTGGAATATTAGCATAATGGAGCAGCAAACTTTTGAAAGCCGTTAAGGCTGACCTTTTTATGTATCCACAGTAAATACTTCTGAAGCAAGAGCATGAGCCACATTGTGTCGCTTTGTGCTCCGAAAGGCACTAACTACTCGTTTCATTGCTCAGACACAGAATATCCCTTGGAAGGCCGTGTTTTTGTGTAGTGTTTAATTTGCCCTCTGACCAGATGGCCTCTGAGCTGCCACATTTGCTCTCATGTGACACAGGCCGGCTCCAGCAAAGCCGGGCTGGAATTTTAAAAAGGTCGCCGGACACACAGGAATTGTCACTCACTCAGTCAGTTCGCTCCCTGGGAAGATATCTGAGCAGCCGCTCGTCCGTCATCACGCTCCTCTCCCGACTCTCTGAGCTGTCGAGACATTCTTTGAAGTCCATCAAAGGGGGCTAAGGAGTTCAAGGCCGAATTGTGGCCCAACGTTTCGACTCATTAATGCAACACAAGCATCAAGTTCAAGTACAAAATTTTTTTTTTCTTCCAAAACAAAACCCAAGAAAAGGGTGGCTGATATGGAATGCTGCACTAAATGGTAAATAATTGTATTTTTATTTTCAGAATAAAAGCCAGGATAGAAGGCTGGCTTTGCATACCAATGAATACAGAACAAAATAACTACAACAATGATCTTATATATAAGTTTCCTCCGGCCGGATGCATTCCTGCACAGACAGCTCAGTATGGGTAGCAGCGGGTAGGGGCCTTTGCCAAAGCTTCAGTGGGTTGCCAGGGCGGAGGCTGGCGAATCGGATCGTGCCAGTGGTGAACCTCAAACCACAACAGACGGCGCCACACACTTGATCTTCTCATCCACTCCAAACCGACCGAGCACTCGAGCTGCAGGCGGCTTCGCGGGCCACACAGTGATGCGAGGAAAAGCATGAGACAGGGGAGAGAATGGGCGGCGAACCCCTTTTGTTCTGTAAACACACGCATGGCCTTCCTTGAAACAATATCCCTGCACCTAAAAACGGCACGCGGAAAATTACACCTTTTCTTAATCGTAAATTATTGTGTGAGGAAACATTGCAGCGTTTCAATGCTGGTTCTCCCTCTCTGCACAGGAGTGATGGTTTTACAAGGTAACGTTTTTAAATGCTACTAATTAAAAAAAAAAAAAAAGCATAAAAGAATTTGTAATGTATAGTTCTGTTTTGGTCTTTTGCTTCTTTTTCACAAATACTTGGACCAGATCCGGTGCCTGTGTATGACACCAATTGTTAAAGTACATATATGGAATATATAGGAAGAAAAGCAAGCCTAGAAGAAAAGGCCTTAAAGATGTATCACACTTAAGCGCATCATTCACTCACCTTAAATACCTAACAAGCAAATTTTTGGTGGTAAAATTCGCTGGTTTGTGTAATAATTCTTGTCCTTCCAGATACAAGGGTAAAGTTATAGTTTTTAATGCAGCACAGTGACCTTGGACTTTTTTGTGTGTGTCATCTTTAGTGCCGATCACCCACGGTGCAGCGGTACCCTTCTCCATGGCTGACATGCCCAGCCAACCCTACTATCATGACCTGAACCCCAGCGTGGCACTGCAGCGCTCCCTGTCCTCTCCGCCCGGCAGGTTGGTGTGAGTTACTAAAACAAAACACATTTATCAATATGCTTAAGGGATTTTTTATTAAAGATATCTCTTGTTTATAATTACTTTGTTTGCTATATGCTTAGAAATTGATAACAATTTCCATTCTCGAAAGAAACATAAAACGCTTATTTTCTATGTTGGGAAGTTTAACTTATATGTTTCCTTATTTGCTCAGGTCAATATAGCTTAGATGTTTTTTATATATACTGGCCTAGTTTTTCTCATCTTTAAGTTATTTTTAAATAACTCATTTATTTCTGGGACTCAGTTTAAAGCGAAACACATTTTGCTGGTTATCCAAAAAAGTATGATGATTTGCGTGTAAAGCTTATAAAAACACTGAAAGACAATATGCTAAACTAAGCTTAACCAACCTCAGTCATATTCAATAAATTAGAACATCTGCTCTTATGAGGATGTTTGTGGCATTAAAGTACCTTTGGAAAATGTGTTTTAAGAATGCATCTCTATTAAAGCTATTTCTTTAGTTTTGTTTATTTGAATCAGGTTCATTTTGATATTATCTTTCAGGTTTTTTATATATTATCTTAGCTCAGTCCTGGCAATCTCAATTTGTTGTAAATTGGCTAACTTTAGTATTACTTTTATTTTCTGATTTAATTTTAGGTTATTTTAGCATCGTTTATGTTAGCAAATTTTTTCTTGGTTCAGTTGATTTTTCTACATTTAACTTAGTCTTTCTTACTTTATTCTTTTAGGTAACCGAGAATAATTATACTGTCTTATGATTGTACTTATTTTAATTAAAACATGCTAATTTAACATAAGTTATCCTTTGTTATATTTAGTTATCTGTTGTTAGAATGTTAGTTTACGTTAATCTGTTTTAGTTTATATTAGTCTATTTTATTATATATGAATGCGACCTAGCTGTTCAGATACCGGTCTCATTTGAAAAGATCAGATTCGTATCGGATTCAGGACCACATAGCCACGTGGCCTGGGTTGCATTGGAAAAAATCGGATCTGTGTTGTTCAGACTGCCTTGAAAAGGTTCATATAAAGATCCAGGTTGCATGTGGGCAAGACAATTGGATTTGAGTCACTTCAGGGTGAACGTAGCCTAGTTTGTGGCTCGAGACACAGACTCTGTATTGGGGTAAATAAAGTTATGACATAGTCATCTTGTCTTTACCTGCATGAGCTGCCCCTAACCACACATGACTCAGAGGCTGTCCAAACATAGCAGGATATCTGGAAAAAACTAAACTTTTTTAAACAGTTTTGCCTTCCAGCCACACAAAAACAGAGTTAAACGTCCCTTAAAACATATTATCCAAAAAATGGCCTAAGTGAAGATTGTACAAACACAAAGGTTTAGAACCAAAGTATAAATGAAAAAAAAAAAAAAATTAATGTCCACCGCATCATTGTCTGTGACAACTATTGCTGTCCTGTGTCACACATGTGCAACTATGGTTTTTATACTTGCTCAATGCTGAGTTGCGTATTTCTGCGGGTTGGTGTGGATGAAAACCTTTTTTTTTTTAAAAACCTCCAGTGTTTACCATAAACCAGGGGAGATCTTTTTATAAAACCCTGCTATGTGTGCACGGGCTGTCAGTGGAAATAACAGGGCAAAGAGCGCTATAGGCATTGTAGTGACAGGGTGGCTACATGAAGGACTGGGTCCAACTGTCCAGATGCAGCTCCCAGTCTCCATTATTGCGTTATAGCAGGAATCAACCAGACCCTGCCTTGGTTGAACACCTGCCTTCATATTCACCAAATTGCTGCCTTTGTGTATCAACACAGAGCCAACTTTGTCACTATGTCGTTGTTGATAAACTTCCAAGCTTTTCAAATTATTCTGGCTTATCCTGTCTACCACCAGGTACTCACTGTCATAGGAAATATATTTTTTGCACATCTCATCATGTTATTCTCCCAGTTTAGTTATGTAGCACGGTATGATATTGATAAACTACCTGATTTTATGAGAAATATATTAGATTGTACAAATTTTAGAGCCATTTTTATCCAATTTGAATAAAATACAATCTTTTTCAACCAGATATCAGTAGTAGAAATATAAATAATTGGTAGAAATACTTGTCAGTACACAATACATCAACCCATTGGGTTGAATGGTCTACATTTTTGTCATTTATTTTTTATGGTAAGATTTTTTATTTTATTACACAGCATTCTGGTCCAACATGTTGGTACATAAGTAAATTGATGCAGTTGTAGATTTTATACATTTAGAAAACATCTGTTATTATCTTCCATAAATTATGCGATTTGTGTTTCAAAAAATTAATGATGACATCAAGGCTTAAACTTAAAACCTGTGCGCAGCAAAAGGCCCAAAACCAACATGGAGGAAAACATGGACACCAGCCCCACTGGACCCGATTTCTACTCGTCACCCAACTCACCAGCCAGCCGGGCAAACTGGCACGACAGAGATGGAGGTATTTTTCACAATTTCTTTTACTTCGGTTAATCTAATAGAAAAAGTTTGATGGATAAATTGCAGCTAAACAACAGAGACCAGGAAATGTTTTTCTCATCTGTTTTCATTCATTTTGGATGAACTTGTGTTAATTGTGACCCCAGTTTTCCGTCCTTACTTATTCAGTGAGATGTTCTGTTGCTTTAATGGTTAACATGCATACTTATGACCCCCTATTTCATTTTTATCATCTCAAACAACTTCCTGCAGAAGAATATTTCCTCTTCTGTTTGACTTATGTTTGAGTCTGATTGTTTATTGTGTTTAGAAACCCCGGCAGTTTATAAAATACCAAGGTCAGACTTCAGGAAGTCTTCTTCAAAATGTCTAGATTCCTAAAAGCACTGAGATGCTGCCTTTTGATTGGCTGATTTGAGATTGGTATTAACAAGCAGCTGAACAGGCCTTGCTAATTAAAGTGGACGTTGAGTGGATTGCAGTCCTTTATTATTTCTTTAAAGTGACGGCTTATGGGATCAAAAAAATACTGCCAGTTTGGCTCCGCTGCTGAGAAAAAAAAAAAAAAAAAGCTTCTCATTGGTAAACCAAAACAAATTAAGTAAACTCTCCAACTTTGACCACTCCTGTTAACCCCTTTGAGTCTATTTAACCCACAGGAGCAGGTAAGAAACATTTGCTTTAATAGGGACATGCATAAAACCACTGGAAACCATCTTTTTTTTTTTCCCTCCCTGCAAGACACACAGTGGTTTTTAGCTCCAGTTTGAACCCAGACCACCTCCTTTTTCTAATTTGATATAATCAGTGGGGAGGCTGCAAGAGGAAAACACCAGATGACACACAGGAGACGCAGCAGTGGTGGGATTCAGCCGCAGCCGCAATGTGGGAACATGAAATTCTAGCGTGTCCCTCTGCGCAAGGCCCGAGAGCATTACACTGCGTAAACTTAGACACTTGGGGTGAGGAGGAAGGGAATGAAGTGGGTAGGAAACTCTCCAAAGACAGCCATTACTCTGTCAAGAGAGAATAAATGAGAAGTGGGCCGATATTAAACCCATATGAGTCCTGTGAAGTGCCAAGGATTTCATTTCTTTCACGTGGTTGATGTTCAGGCTCTGCTAGTGTTCTTGTCTGGGAAAGCACTGAAATGTGGAAGTTTGCTACAAACGAGTGCAAATTATGTTAAACCTGACTAATTAAGTCTAAATAAAATCTTTTGTTAGTATAAATTAATTGCTATAATCGATCGTAATAGTTTATCTCAGCCTTGAAGCTCTTTAAGGTATTTCTCTTTTTTACATGATCATGAAACGCTGCTGGGAGTGGATCCCATCTCCAAACTCAGGATAGGAAAACCCCCTAAACTCCCAACGCCTTTCCATCTTTGAGATAAAGTTTTCCTGTTACTCGTTTGGATCCCTCCCCACCTCTTGTCACTTTAGGGATGGAGGTTAAACAGATTAATATAGCGAATAACGAAATTCAGTGTTTGTAAAACATCTGTTTCTGAGAGAAAAGAGGCGTATGATGTGAAAGTTATACACCCAAACAGTGCGACAGGCAAGAGAAGCACTTCATCATGGTTGAGGCACAAAAAAAGACATAGGCCACTGCCTCTCGGATCTTTGTGTTATCACGTTCCCTTCAGACTCCATGTCTCAGCATGGAAAATTGAAAACCGCGCAGCCGTGACAGCAGAGCGTCGCTCGTAGAAAAAAAAAAAAAGAAGAATAAAATAAAAAAATCGTAGAGCCGCAATAATGAGCAGCTGGCTGTTTTCGGTTCAGTTTGTGCACACGCACTGAGCAAACTTCCTAAATAATTTTCAGTTCTTCAGCAGAGCTTTCAGGATTATTGCTGGAGAATTACAGCAGCTTGTCGCAGACGGTTTGTGAAGCAGTGTTGCTTTCTGTTTAAGATTACGCGTAGGTCTTAAAAGTTTTAAATCCTATTTGGGTCACTTTAATCGTCTGGTCTCGTATGATAAAAGACTTGTTTTTTAAGTTATGGAGGAGTTCCGGTGATTTATTATGATTCCTTAAATTGTATGGGACTTTCCCCTCAGGGAAGAGATTATTTTCCAGATGCATTTTTCATTGTGTTCTTTATTTCCTTTTTATTGCATGAAACCCACAGGATCAAATTTTGGCCCATTTTAAACATCTAATTCATGATTAATTTGAGGCATTTGGAAAAGCCTCTCAAGAATTATTTGATTAATTTTTCGGCAATAATCTGAACTCTGTTGCGTCATTTCATGGTTATCAAATCTCTTTGTCTTTTTCCACATGCGTCCAAAAGAAAAACGATCAAACTTGATTTTCAGGGTTCAGGGTTTTGCTGGAAGATTCTAATCATTGGGTTTTCTTGAGGCCTAAATTTTCAAATAGTATTCTATAGCTTTTAAAAAAGCTGAGACTAGCTGATTCTAGTTTTGACCTTTACTGATTCTTTTTGCTCTGACTAGAGCCTATAAGAGTAATAAAGATAAAGATGCCTCACAGTCTGTAATAAAATAATTTGCTTTAAATGAACAAAGGGGGAAAAAAAACGATTTGTCAATAAACAACTGGGACCCATCAAAATACTTTAAAGAAATTATGGAAATATTGTTTTTATGTTACATGTATGGTTCTGGTTTGCTTTTCTTGTCTACAGAGATGTCCTCTCCCACAATGAAGAAGCCGGAAAAGCCGCTGTTCAGCCCCACTTCCCCACAGGACTCCTCGCCGCGACTCAGCACTTTCTCTCAGCCTCATCACCCAGGCCTATCAGGCGTGGGACACAGTGGTGAGTTAAAAGGACAGTTCTTTCAAAACCTGCAATCTGAATCCGTTTTTTTTAATTTTTTTTATTTTTTTACATAATTCATAGTAGTGTATTGGAGAATAGGTCCATCCTCACTCCATCTGTTAGCGTTTGGGTGTTGCTATACAAAGCACTAGATTATTGATCTAATGCTACGTTCACCTCCTCTATGAAAGTAGGAATCCATAGCAGAAAGGTTTGTGTTCACCCAATGCTAAGGAGGGAAAAAAAATGCAATTACTTCAGAGACCCAACAGCTGCAGCCCATCCATCAGCGAAGGGCCGTTTGCAAAAACGTTACAGTCCATCACCGGAAAGGAAAAGAAGACTCGGGTGAAAAGAAATGAGGACAGCCATCACTTTCCTCTGGATAGGTCTTCTTCTGAGTTCAACCAAAGCTTTGATTGTGCAAACAGCTCAAATTATTTTACTTTACCGATTGAAATTAGACCCAATGGATAGAAGCTTCACAGAAAGATTTCAAAGAGAGCAATGGTTCTAAATCCTGGTCATCAAATGAAACTTTAGTGCTTGTTTAAGTCTTTCCTTTCTGTCACTTATCTGACATATGCATGAAATATTAACAGGTTTCTGTGGCACTTGATGGCAGCTTTGGAGACCATGCAATCATTTGAATATGGTGTGCTGCAACAGAGATATCGGAATTATAAAGGCAGTTGTGCTTGAGGACTAGGATTGAGAATTATTGTTCTAGAGAAGTTATAAATGTAGATCTACAAGTAACTGAACCAAGAAGTAAATACTAGACTAAAGGAGAGTGGCCTTTGTTTTTAAGAAGGATCTGTAATCTAAATAATCTCCATTACAGTCTCTGATTGTTTTTTTTTGTTTTTTTGTCTCCACAGTTATATCATCCAGGAGCCCCCCTTCACACTCGCCCCTGCAGTTCTCAGCCTCGGCCATCCTGCCCCCGGCACCGTCGCCCTACTTCTCGCACCCCACTATACGGTATCCGCCTCACCTCAACCCCGCAGATCCCCTCAAGAGCTACGTGCCGTCGTACGACCCGTCCAGCCCGCAGAGCAGCCAGGTCGGTCTCCTTCTGTGTGTCTGAGGGTTTAAAGTATTAGAGTGCGCTTATTTACAGAGCCTGTAGTCTTTGTTCTTTATCTTGTTTGGCTCTGACCTCTAGAGATCGTAGATAAGATAAATTACAGCACCCTGTGTTTCACTAATGCCTTCAAGGTGCACTTGGAAGTTAACAATATGTTGTGGTTTTGCTTAAATTTCCTACATTCAAATATTTCCAGTTGTTTTTTTCAAAACTATTCACACTTTTTAGTTTAATATGCCTTAAGTGGATAATATATTTTAAGGGGAAGGAAAAATAATGCATTGGCACATAAAGATCTGAAAAAGGCATAAACATTTCACTCCCTTTACTCTGATGTTGGGATTTAAAGAAGCAGCTAAGAAGCCACTGGTAACTCTGGAGAAACAGCAAGAGATTCACAGCTCAGGTGGTAGAATCAGCTACTCAAGTTTTTCTTGGCAGATGAGAATCTTGCTGAGGTACATTTTCTTAAGGATGGAAGGGGATTTCAGTTCATGATGATTGGAAGATAGTTGCATCTAAAGATAGAATAAAGTTCACCATCCAGCAGGACAATAACTTTAAACCTTAGGTTAAACTGTTTAGATAAAAGCACATTAATTTTCTAAGACAGACCAATAAAAGTCCCTTTGCCAATAAAAAATCTGAGGCCCAAATGATGTTTAAGGACTCTCCATCCAGTCTGACTGAAGTTAAGCTTGTCATACCTTGCAATTCTTTAGATGCACAAATCTTCTAGACCAGGTATGTCCAAAGTTGTCTCTTGACGGCGGCCATCCTACAGGTTTAAGAGATTTCTGTGTTTCAGCACAACTTATTACCTTTGATAGCTTGTTAAATCGCATTTGCTGACTCCCATCATCACCATTAGTTGTACTAAAGACGAGAAGCATTGAAAACCTGCAGGACAGCAGTAGAAATGCACCGATTTGATACTTGGATTAGTTATCAGGATTTCATATCGAATACCAGGGATCCAATCCAGTTGGCTATTCATGGAATATTTTTCTTTCTTTTTGCTGCTTATTTGTTAAGAAAATACAAATAGTACATATATATCTTTGTTGATATGTTACCTATTTTTAACTATGTTTATATCAAGGCTGAAGCCTAGAGCCATCCCCCATAAAACTTCAGCTGTACATTTTAGAAACAAATAGATCTATTGAAGTCTGTGTCATTTTTCTTCCACTTCACCATTATTCTCTTTCTGTTGCTCTGTGACACAGAAAATGCGTATAAAAGGGAGTAGTGTGTAGTAAATAATATCGCAACATCCTGTCAGTATAATTACTTAAGGACAAACCCTTAAATCCACATTGCAAAGGCTGTTAATCTGCCACAATTTCCACGTGTTATGATAATAAGGCGATTATAGACCTTCAGATGTTTGACTTTTCTATCCGTATATTTTCAGCATGACATAATGCTCTGGGCAAAAGGTTATAATACACTTAGAGCCTTATGTTTGCAGTTAATATAAAGGGGAAACAACAACCGCATGACTCCATAGAAAAAAATAAACACAGCTCTTGCGACTCCAGTCACATGTATGACATGCAAATCCCTATCAGGACTGGACTATAAATCAAACCGTTCTCTGCGTTTTGTTTTTTTTTGCATTCACCAAGCATAGTGCAGGCCAGTGTGCACAGAGACCGAGCTTGGCGTCTCTATAGATCAGAAAGCCGTGTGATATTTATGTGAGTTTTATTTCCCCGCCGTTCTCACTGTAAACAAAAGCCTCGTAGACGGCTCCGTCTCCAGAAGGCTCTGGGTTGGCGGTGGTGGTGCGGTGGTGGTGGTGGTGGGGGGGTGTTACTCTGGAGAAAAACCACGGGGAACGATAAAGGTTGTAAATATTTGCCGTTGCCGGGGCCCTGCTCTTGTGCAGAATTAACTGGCCCTCTGCTGGGGTTCTGGAGAAAGCAGCGGAGAAGAGATGGGGTGAAAACGGAGAGTCTGGAAGACCAGCCAGGGGAGAACAGAGGATAGAAGCGCTGGGTGAGGGGGGGGGTGTGTGTGGTTGAGTCTGCAAATAACACAGCGCTTATAATCCCATGGACGAGTGCCAGAATGTTTTATGCTTGCTTTAACGCAGATTATATTACACTCTAATTAAACATTCTATTCAGAGCGAAGGGAACCCTGCCGACTCGATTCTTCTCCAAAAATGCCTGTTTGAGTTTTGAACTCGGGGCGGCCCTGAAGTGAACGGCCCAGACAGTCTCCAGCCGTCTCAAAGACCAGCTCCCAGTTGCTTCCTTTATTCAGTGGTCCCCCCCTTATATATAGTCCCTCTATAGCCCAGCATTCACTCCATTGTAGCGGGTCACTCCGCAGTCCTCGCTGGCTTTTCACGCCCCTCGTCCTCCTAAATTACATTTATGAGCACCATTAAAATCATTGTGAGGAATCGTGTAGGAAATCCATTGTCACTTCCAAACCCCCCCAGACACCCACCCACCTCTGGGTATTAGTAATAACTGTGACAAGGCGAGGATAAAAGGGATAAAATCTTTTAGAGTGAGTGTTTTAGCTGCCTGTAGTTAGTAATGTCATTCTGTTGGGTTACTTAAAAGTTAGGAGCATAATCAGAGCAAACTGTTTTGTTGAAGTTTACTGGCATGCTTGTCTTGGCAAATTCAGATCTGAATCAGCTGCAGTTTTACAAGCAGAGCCTGAGCTTGTAACTGTCAGTCATCTCGCCCAGGATGTCTCCTTGTGATGTTATTGGTTGTGTTAGCAGACAGGACAGGTTTATGGTCCTGATCCAGCTTTTTAGTTTTAATGGTTAGCACACTCCACCTTCCATCATTAGCTAAATGAAGTCAAAACCAGTAAAAGTTCTACAAAAATGTCCTACTTGAATGTTTTAATCACCAAACAAACCTTGAATATGAACTGTATGAGCTGAGATAAATAGAAACTGCAGTTATTTCTTGAGCATTGCATCTGGATCCTGGAGGTTCTGAGTTCAACTCCCACAAACTGCCAATATGGGTCCCTGAGCAAGACCCTCAACCCCCAGACTGCTCCCTGGGTGCTGCACAGGGACAGCCCACTGCTCCACAATGGGATGGGTTAAGTTAAAAAAGTGAATTTCTCCATTGTGAGATCAAGAAAGTATATTTTTTTTCTTCAGAGCTGTTTTAATTCAGCCGTTTTTGAGGGTTTTTCATTATTAATAACCTTTTCAAGGTTCCAGCATCTTAATCGGATTTTGTTTTCCTGAAGACCAGAATTCATGGTTCCATCAGTAACATGAAAACATCCAGATAATTTTTTCATCCAGATATAACAAGCTGCTTATTTTCCAAAAACAGTTCCACTTTTGCCTCGAAACTAGGAAGAATATTTTTCACAAAAATCTCAGGGGCCAACAAGATGAGTGAGATCTGTGGGAAATATGACACTGGTGGTTATGATAGAGCTAGGGTTAGAGGGCAAATATTAAAGTAGGGTTCTGTTTATTATCACTGGCTCATAGCTGTGTTGTCTGTTGGTCTCTATCTAACATGCAGCCTAACAGCAGTGGTCAGGGGGTTGGAAAGGTTCCGGGCCATTTTACCCCAGTTCTGGCTCCATCCCCGCACCACGGCCCAGTGCGACCAGTTACGCTCACAATGCCTGACACTAAGCCCATCACCACATCTTCAGAGGGTAAGCGCACACCAATCACACCAATCACCTTTTACCTGAAACCTTTATTTTTCTATTCAATTTTCTGATTAATGTTCTTGTTTTGTAAAATAGAAATAATAGTCATTGGTTACACAATATCTTATTTTTATGATATTACATGTTCATGTTTTTATTATTATTATTATTTATTCCTATTTTTTTGTTTGTTTGTCTCGTGTACTGCTCAATCGTATTGCCCTTGGTGTGATTGATAAAGTTATGTAAGTATAGGGGGTCAAAGGGATACCAACATGATATTAATGATGCGCAAAAAAACCTAAAGACTATAAACATATATGTCTAAAAAGGACAAATTAACCGTCAATGAATTTTTGTCTGTTTTTGTCTATTTTTTATTTGATGCCATTAGATTAAATGCCACTATTTTCCGTATGGTTCAAGAAACAATATTTCTAGTGAATTTCAAACCTAAGGCCTTCATTCATTATTAAGGGAAAACATTACATGTGTAGACAGGAATCAGAAAACTTTATTAGTCCCATAAAGGGCAATTCATTGCAGCAACAACCCGACCAAACACACAGAGAAAACAAAGAGACAAGTATGAGCTGTACCAGTTTACAGATGTATTATACACAGAAACAGCCTGGACTGATAAAGAAAGATCAAACAAATCAACGGCAATGGAAATAACTCACTTAAATGATGTTTTCTATTTGCAGAAGGATGAAAGATTATGAGTAAGAAGTAGTTGTAAATGTAGGCAAATGATAACTCTAAAACCTTGGCCAGAGGGAATCACACTAAACCATGAAGACAAAAGGTGCCTCTGATTTAGGGGCAATGATCTGACCAGCTTTCTTTGTAAAACTGGGCATACGCTGTGCGATATTTTCAATCATTGCACGCAGCTACTGCTCCAACTGTACAACAAAACCGCAAGGTTTAAAAATTAACGGCTGCATGTTCTCACACTGTGCGGCCCAACGCTCTGAAGCAACCTTACGACGGCCGACTGGATTTCAAACATGTTTGATTTTCTCCTGACCTTGCCATTCCTGATCGGGAGATGGAAAGTAGGCCCAATCGAAAAATTCGTATACAACCGGAGAATTGGCCCGAAAAGGGAAAAAAAACATACAGCATATGCCCGGCTTTACCCAATTCTCCCAGAGTGACGCCAGTCTCATTGTCCAACACCAGGGATTTTTGAACATACGTAAACAATATTGTTCAATATTTTTTGCCTCTCCCAGATAATCAGATCAATATGTTAAAAGATGGTAAGAAGACTTTCTATATTGGAGACAAAGAAAACTCTATGAATCCGTATAAAAAACAAAAACTTTTTAGTGATATCTGTGGGGAGGTTTTGTGTCCTGTTTTGCCATTTTAGCTCTCGGAATCGATATCCCAGAGTTTGATATTAGCCGAACAGATTTGCTTTTACAAGAAGACCAATATAATTGATGCCATAAGGTTATCTTTGATACTTGATACAGTATTGAAAATTATTTAGGGAATAAAACTGTAGGCAATGGAGACTGAAAGGGAGGGAAAAAGAGCTTATTGTCAAACACAGTTCTAAGTACATGTAAGTCTCAACTGTTTGCATTGGTTAAAGTTCTTAGGGAAAACATTTCATTGACATTAGCAGAAAAACATATATATATAATTTTGTAAAAATCTTCCTACTTCGTTACATCAACTAAAGTGGTTCGGAATGTGAGCCCTGTGGGACTCCTCAAGCTTTTTTTTTATTTTTACATGTAATACTTCCTGTTTATCGTGGCAGATTTCAAATTTTGTCCATTTACTTTCTTTGTTATTGCTTTCATAGTTAAGTGGCGTGATACAATATATTTTACTTATTTTTTTGTTGTAATGACCTATTATACAGGCTACTCAACCCCTGGCACCCCGACATCCAATCGTTTTGTAGGCCTGAGCCCTAGAGATCCAGCCTTTCTCCACCAGCAACAGGTGAGGTCATTTTCTCTGCTACATTATTTAAATAAATATTTCTTCTTCTCCTTATTATTTTTCACTTTTTCTACCTCCCACTGCTGAAATATAAAAATGAGCAGATCTGAACAAACTGGCAGAGCAAATCCAAGAGTTGATACGTAACGAGGCTAAAAGAAACAAAACAAACCAGCTCATCTCCTGTCAAACCATTTTCCCTTTTGATACTGTAAAGATTTATACTCAAAAAAAACATTGACTCATGAAATAGTGTGGCTCAGATTTAATAGCGAATGGGAGGAAAAGAAAAAATCCTATTTTTACTCCTTTCACTGAAATACACACAAAGGTGGAGGGTCACTGTCATTTTTCTTCATTCTGTTTCCTTCACACATTAGTTTAGACATTTCTTTAGACAACACACTCCTTTATTTACAAGCTCTTTACAGAAAGGTGGCGTCGTGTTACTGTAGGATGTCCTCGGACAGAAGTGGTATCCCTTTGTGTGTGTTTGTGTTAGAAGCGTTGCAGTTTTGTGGGTTTCTTTTTTTTCGCGACGGGAAAGAGAGACTGCTCCCCTCCAACGCGTCTTATTGAAAGAGCTGGTCCGAGGCCAAGGCTTTTCCAACCACAACTAATTGAATGCATCTGCACGCAGCTACATAATGATTGCTGGGTTTCTCTGCAGCTCGTATCTTTGGTAAAAATATCACAAAAACTGGCCTCTTGTTTTCTCACTGTCTGTCTCTTTCCATCTTCCTTTATCTCTCATGATTTTGAAAAATATCTGTATTTATTTAAGATCGGAAAAGATAAGGGGAGTTGTTAGTTTTGTCTGGTTCTGGAAGCTTTTATTTCACTTGGGAGCAGAGGGGGGAGGAGGAAAGGGAGGAATCACTTGGCAGATAACGTACAGTTTGTCTTCCACATTTTCTGGTAGCCGTGTTTTTTGTGGGCCATGAAGCGAGCTCCGAACACAGCGGTGATCTGAGTGCAGCTGCTGAATTTAGTCCAAAGACTTGCTCTCAGACTCGATAAAAGCCCATATTTTTAAAAGCGTGGATAAGCCAAGGTATATAAATATCTCCTCCAATGAAATACGGCAATAGTTATTCAAGGCCCAACAGAAACGGTCATATCCTTAAAGGCAGTTTGGGAAATAATGGCTTTTACTCAAAAATGTAATGATTACAACTCTGCTGAAGATTATTAGACAACGTTTCTTGAGTTTTTTCCCAGTGACTCATCTTTGTCTCTGTTTTGGTCTAATTTAAAGGCCTGGACTTTGGCCTCCTAGAGACAAGAAAAAAAAAAAAAAAAAGGAGACTCAATCAGAGCCAAGTCTCTCAAGACTAAACAGTTTCTCAAAATACTCCGTCATTGTCCTCATCTGGCAAGGGTTTGTTTATTGTGTTGAGTCCAGGAGGTTTTTGCACTTCGAGGTGATAAATTGTGAGCATTTGTTGGTAGCACTGGGCCTCGTCTGCTCTTTGTAGTAAAAGATTCGCACAGACATTAGATATCCTTTAGATTTGGAAATAAAATAAACTTAATGTAATAGATGTAAAAAAATAAAATAATATTATTATTAGCACCCGGTGAAGACATTCATACTCCTCAGACTTTAAAATTTTAAAGTATCTTTTGCATTTTACATAAATAATTAAGATAAAGTCCAGCATAGTGGAAATGGAGGGAAAAAAAATATTTTTATTTTAATATTTTCTACAAAGAATCTTAAAAGTGTGACTTACAATTGTATTTTGGCACCATGCATGTGAATAAAGGCATCAGGACGGCATGATGCTCCCTCCATTTTCCCCTTTCTGTTTTGTAGGTATTAGGTTCCTGTGCTGAACATAGCTCCATGAAATATTCAGAAATGAGGGTGAGGTTATTTTATCACCTTATCGCTATTTCAACTTTTCCTCGTCTGTCCCCGAGATATCCAGGGTGATCTTCATTCTGCATGATACTACTGTGCGTTTTTAAACCTCTGTGGCCTTCATAGAGGAGCTCGATTTATACTGCGGTCAGATTATACAGAGGCGGGCCATGTTTACTCATTAGAACAAAGCTGTTCGTTTTGAATTTTATTCTGCGGTACTAAAACAATAAAAAAAAACAGAAGGTACAATAGAAAATTAGCAGATTTTGATTTTGTTGAAATTCATGGTTTATTATTAACTTTCTGATTCATAATTATGTTTGTGGTTGTCTAAACTCTTAACCTCGTGTTAGAATTTATAAGCATATTAACTAACCTCACAAAAAAACAACAAAAACAAAACAACAACACACGCTCCCACACCTGCTCCATGAGTCCCAGGCAAGGAGCGTGTGAAAACCCCTCCATTCATCTCCCGCCTTGGTTAACCCCTCAAGGGAATGCCACCATGGAGCATTCCACAGGGAGAGATCTGTGATCAGATGTCATTTGGTATTATCTAAGGAAGGATCCTAATCCACAATCTGCCCGCATCTGTTTGCTAACGTTCCCCTGCTCCGTCCCCCCTTTTTTCTTCTTCTTCTTCTCCCCTGCTGCCCTGCACCGCCGCTCTGATGTGTTGGTGCCAGCGGACAGATGGCGAGCCCCTCGAGGAGCAGTGGGCACGGAGCGTCTGGCTCTGCCTGCATGTCCTCCCCGAGCTTTTGTCAAGGCTGCCGAGTGCGAGAACGGGGGGGTTCACGTTCCCAACCTCCCAAAAACAAAAAACACCCTTAATGGAGCAAGTTTTCATTGTTTTCTGATTGGTTTTCCCCAGCAGCTGTTGATTAAAGGGACACATTTAAAGGCACACTGCTACATTTTTTTTTTTTTTTAGCATTTAGCTCTATAAAAGTCTGAAGATGTGGAGAAAATTCTCCCTGAATAAAATAAATAAACTCTCCAGGTGCAAGTAGAAGGAGAGACAAAAAATAAGAGCACATTTCTTGACCGCTGCAAATGGCTCTGAATATTCAGCGTCTTTCTGATTAAATCTCTCTTAAGTGCCTCTGCGGAACGTCTGCCGCTGCACACAGAGTGCTAACGGTGCACTTTTTATCCCGATGCATTACTAAATGAATGTGTTGACCACAGGGCAAGGTTAGGTTGGTGTTTGGCAGGGATAGCTCTCAGCTGGATTGCAGACACGTGCGGCCGCATAATGCATGCGGAGGAGACGACGAGGGCCGTGCGTGTGGCTTTTATGTTGCAGTAATTTGTAATCTGTATGTAAGGTTGGTGTGTTTTGAAATGCAGGATGAAGAAAGAGTGGGAAGGGGGGGGTTAGTGTGAGTCTGAGTGTGTGTGTGTGGTTTAACTTCATTGCACTGTGACCCTAAATCAATAAAAACAGTTAGCTAATGAAAAAATAAAGTCTGCATGCTGGAGGGCATGCGCACTCCTTCCTGAATTGAAGAGAGTACTTCACTGTAGTTATGAACCGCAGGATGCATGCATTGAACTTGTTGCACGGCTTCAGCAGGTGGAAAATACAGCGACTGCTCACCGATGAAACACAGTGCCTTGCGAATCAAACCGTACACTTCCCCACTTTTTGTCACATTACAGCCACAAGCTTTGCTTTATCTTATCTATTTGGTAAACCAACACAAAATTGTGTAAAATTGTGAAAAGGAAAGCAATTCCTTTACAGCTTTCAAAATGGTTTCCAAAGGCAATAAAAAGTTAAAAACGTGGGATGGATTTACGTTTGGACTTTTTCACTCTGATATCATTACACAAAATCAAATGCAAGCAATTAATCTCAGGAGTGATCTAGTTACTAAACACATCTTTCTCTTAGTATAAATCCAGCTGTACTGCAAAGGCCTCAGGACAGAGAAAATTAGTAAGAGAAAACAAAACAGCATTGCGATGATCCCAAGAGGACAAAGATGTGGAGAAGTTTAAAGCTCATGTATAAAACAAGATCCCAAGGTTTGTAAATCTCATGGAGCACTGTTTAATCCCTCATATAAAGATGGAAGGAGTATGGCTTGATTTCAAACCTAACAGAACACTTAAATCACAGGCTAGGCATGGAGAGCATTAATCAAAGAAAAAACAGCCACCCGGCGACAGTTATTGATCTACTCTACAATTCTCACTAGAGTGGCAAGAATAAGAGCCATTTGTGAAGGAATGTCATAAGAAATCCTGTTAAAAGTTGTGTTTTGGACTTGGCTAAAGTTATTGTTCCTGATTATTTGGGACTTAAACAGAACTAAATAGGTAGATGTAGTGGAAACATTACACCTGAACGCAACATACCTGCTGTGGAGCACATTGCCAGATATAGAAGTAGAGATGTAAAAGACAGGAAATAAGAAAGATGGAGCAAAAAGCAGGACGGTCCTGGAACAAAATGCATTTGAGGAGTTATAAGGAGAGCCCAGTTTAGAGTCCAAAGTGAAATCCAATTCAAACCTATGATAGCTCTTCAGAACAGTTTGCAAAGTGACACAAAGTTTGCAAAGTGACACAAGAGACGGAAATTGGTTGAAAAGCGTGAAAAGGTCCTTCTGAAAAGTATGGAGCTGCTAAATAAAAACGTACTCTTTAGAAAAAAGTTGAAATCCCAGCATAGTTACCTTTCAATTCACATTTGTGCACTACTTTGTGTTGGGCATTCATATTAAAAACACCAACCTCAAAATGTGAAAAGGTTCAAATGGTGTGAATACTTTCATAGGGAGCTGTTTAAAGATGCCACTCACACCCTTTAACCAACTAATTTCATTATTTTAATCAACTTTTGCTTAACTTCCAGGTTAGCTGCTGCCACTAACTCTTAAATGCATGCTTTACTTTCTTCATGTCTGCTCTTAATTTACTCTAGTCCCTAAATCACTTAATTATATAAAAAAAAACACTATTCTTAAGTCCTGCCGTAGATGATCCTGCATGCTTTTTGTGTATACAGTGTTGAGTTGTAGTGTAATCTGAAGTGGAAGTTGTCTTGGCCTCGTGATCTGACCGCTAGGTTTCAATTGACAGCTGAGGAAGTGTGACTGGAGCGTGACTCAAAACGGCAGGCATTATGGCCCCAGTGCCACTGACGACACTTTGGGGATTACTTGGCAAAGGTAACCTTTTCGTTCTTTTCATCTGCCATCTCTCTTATATCTCACATATCACATGTATTTACACTTTTACCCTTTGGATTTAATGTGTGCTCTTTATTTTCTGACATTCACATATAAAATAACGTAGAAACAAAAGTGGTCATTCTGGTCAGGAGTTGTAGCTTCTATTAAAGCTGCAATTACTGCATTCATTTCTTCGACTAAAAAATAGTTATCACCTTTATAATGTCTTTTATTTCCTCCTTTCTCCCTTTTTTGTTGTTCAAAGTCTTCCCTGCGATTATTAAATACCTGCTCCCTGTTGAGTCCTGTTTAGTAATGCATTACTCAGGCTTTTATTGGTGATAAAGTATTCTAGTTTTTTTTTTTTTTTTTAGATGACCATTTCAACCATAGCACATTGGAAACTCACCTGTATAAACTTTGCTCTAGTGCAATGCAATCATTAAACATAAAAGATAGAAAGTACAGCGTGTTCCTTTTCAGAAACTACTTAATCATAGAACATGCAGTGCTTCAGGTTTGAGTTCAACTGGATATGAAGGAGCTGGAAGATAATTCCTATTGATGCATCAAAGCATACACTTACTGTAGGTGGACTGATACAGATTATATTGACATCAGTCTAAACAATTCCTAATATGTTTTCCTTTATTGTGCAATAAAAACTGTTTTTTCTTCCTCATTTTACATGATAAAGATGATAAATGAGTAATAAAAATAAAGATAACTTCATGCAGTGGCAGATACCAATACAAAAAAAAAAAAAAAAAGATGCTAATAACGTCTGACTGATGTGTGGGTCTACCTGTTATTAAGACTTCTGGTTAAAAAAAAAAGAGGTAAAAAGCCTTGAAATGAGTCTCTGCAGTAGTATTACCGGTATCTCTTCAACCTTTAATTTGCATGCATTTATTTTGCAGGTATAATGTCAAGAATTGTGTTTTTAACAAACTTGCACGCCATTCATCTGCATTCCCAATAATGTCTTTTAAATCAGGCATCCCCAAAGTCAGTCCTGGAGGGCCGCTGTCCTGCAGGTTTTAGAGGCTTTCCTCTCCAGCACAGCTGAGTTTCATTGATGGCTGATTAACAGGCTTTTGTTGAACTGCAATCAGAATCAGTTGTGATCAGCCAAAAAACCTTTAAAACCTGCTGGACAGCGGCCCTCGAGTACCGACCATGGGCATGCCTGCATTAAATAAACAACTCAAGCTTTTTGAAATCCTTATTTACCTTTTTTAAAGTTTCTCCAACTTTCTGTAAACTAAAAAAAAACCCCATCTAAAGCCATGTGAATTTTGTTAGAGTGCCCACCATGTTGGTATCTTGCAGTGAAGTAAAAATGTAACAATCCAGATCTTATGGCCAAATCATCAATAAAATGGTTCAGCAAACACAAAAAAGACAAATTGTTTTCATGGCATCTCAGTCCACAGATCCTAAAGCTGTAGAAAAAGTGTTCGGTGAACTAAGGAGAAGAGAACCTGAGAGAATCCAGGACTCTGGAGGCTCTGGAGGCAGGATCAAAGGTCCCTCTCCATAGATGCTCTGACCGTGTGAGATGTAACAGGAGAAGATTAAGTGCTGACCTTTTGGCACATGTGGGCTGTAGATAGTATTAACAGCAGGGGTGCCAATAATTCTGCCACTGTTGATTTGGGGAAAAGTCGTTATTTCTTATGTCTTTGGATATTTTTACCTCATGAGTAGCTGCACTTTAATTTATTTTTGAAAGCTTTTCACTCATTTATAATGGGGAGCACATTAAATGCAGCTGGTATTGAATTACCCTAACCTTTATTAGAACTTTTAATGAACATAATGATTCAATGAAGAACATGTTGATGTGTTTACCCAGCAAAATGCAAATGTACTGCTTTAAAAAAATATGTTTTGATGTATATATTGCACGATGATTTAAATTCATTGTACATTTTTTAGGTTTTCCTAAAGATTCCTCCCTTAAAATAGTATTAGGTCATGATTGTAGCCCCGTGGGAACCATCTAGTCTTTGCTTAAACTTCACTCATGCTTTTTTATGTTTAACTTAAAGGTACGGATTGTCTCCTCCATCTTGTTTCCACTCTGTTTCTCTTTCTCGTCTCTTGAGGGGGTAAAGAAATCCTGAAACGTTTTCAGCATGGGAGAGCAGGCGAGCTGAGCTCAGCTTTTTCCTTATTCCTTCTACCTCTTTTCCCCCCTGGATATGCATACCTGTCTGTTTGTGTGTGTATGTGTGTGTGTATTGGGGGTGCTGTGTCGGGGAGTGTGTGTACAGGTCAGTTTGCAGTTGGTGAAGTTATGAACACAAATGCACTGCACAGACCCCCTCAAAAGGCCTCTTAATAGCTGGGTAGAGGTAACATAGAGAAATGCCTCCTCTCCTTTTTTTCCACTCTCCCTCCATGTGACTGTACAGTACAGTAATGAGCACAAATAAAGCAACTGGATTTAGCTTATTTTATTACAGGGACTAAATGATAATTCTATTATATTCCTCCCTCTGTTGGTGGATTATGTACGCCGGGCTGTTCAACCCATATAGCTGGAATCCATTGGATTTCCCTTTTATCTGCCTTGCCCTTTAAACTGAGCGCGTCTCCTCAGCACCGTAGCGTCCAAATTAAAAAAAGCCGGCAGACTTGCATGTTGCCATTGTGCAGGAAATGGGTCAGCAATCCATTAAGATGCCATTAGATAATCTAATTTACTGAGCTAATCCTTAAACGAAGCTCGCTGTACGGCCAGGCTGTGCTTTGCAGGAAGCAGATTCGGGGAAAGGTTCGTAGAGGTAGTAAGGCCTCCTTAAAGGTTACCTGAGAAAATGCAAACATGGGGGGTCAGGTTACTTTAGTGCAGGGAGATCATGCATAGAGGATAATTATTAAGAATTAGAGCTGTGTTAGTGCACTTTGATAATATGAGGGGGAGGAATTGCAATAAAAGTAAATGAAACTAAAGCAAACCCATTCAATCATTTTCTCAATGTCCTTTTTTTCTATTGCTACACAGCATTTATTTTGGACTTTTTGCGACACACACCAATGAGACAAAGTGCATAACTGATGGAAATTTACACAAAAAAACCCTGAAAAGTGCGGTGCACATTTTGAAATGAGCCCTAACTGCATCGTGTAGCAGTTGGCTTTGGAAATTTAGTTGGTAAATAATGCGTTTTTGTGTTGTTATTTTAAATCCTGCTGTTTTTTTTTTAGAGAACAGTTGTTAAAACGGGCAAGAAAAAAGCTTTTATTGGACAGAAAAAAACAAAACAACGTATTACAAGTTGCCTGAAACCATGTCAGGAACAGCAATATGTGGAGGAGGGTTCTGTGGTAGAAGAAGAATATATGTTAACTTTCTAACGTGCAACATGCTACAAATGGAGTAAAAAAAATAAACACACTAAAACACACCCCGGGGGTCCCTACACAAAGCTATAAGTAGGGTTTTCTTCAGCTGGGACGGCATGACAGGGATTTAGTGGTGGAAGAACATCTGTAAGAAGCCACAAAGATTGGGGCAGAGGTTCCCCTTCCAGCAGGAGGACCCCAGAGATGCAACCTGACAGTCTGAACAAGTTTAATAATAACTTTTCTAAAGCGCTGTACAAGTGGTTCAGCTTTAGTCTACAGGATGCAGATACACCCTGACAGCCGTCGATTTTAATGAGATTAAAAACGATTTGCACACAAAGACCCACAAGTGCCCTTTTGTAGCTGTGTGGTCTCCCCCACCCCCTTTTAATGTAAGCCATTACATTAAAGGAGTTTCATAAGGAAAGAGAAGCAGAAAGAGCAGGAAGAGAGAAAGAGAGCTGCAGCCCTCTGGCTCGCTCAGTGCGCTCTTTGTTTGGCAAGGTAGGAAAAATATAATCCCTGGTTTCCTGTCCGATGATTTTTGGCAGGGCTGGAGGAGAGCGGGAAGGAGGGAGGGAAGAAAGCAGGAGTAGAAAGGTTGGTCAGAGAGGAGGAAAAAAAAAACTGTTTGAGGATTAGCCTTCAAGTCTTTTTATTTAACTCTTTGCAAGCTGGAATGTAACAGAACTCCTGTGAATTTATTAAATTTTTTTGTTTTGAACACAACTCCTGCTTTCGTCTTTCCAGCTTTTCATCGCTCGTTTAGGCAGCTGGTGTTTTCACGCCTTGGGGTGAATTAAATTTGCACTCTCTTTGTTTTATCCATAAGAACTGTGACTAGTGATTTATGTAAAACTCAGACGGGCTGAAGAGTCGCGTTCATGGGAGTCTCCGTCCTCCATCCTTAAATGTTTTATTCTTGAAACTCAGAATCTGCATCGCAGGTATAAATACATAAGCAAGGGTGTTGCGTTGTTATACACCGAGGTCTGTGAGGAAGAAAAGGATAGTGAAGGGGATGAGGAGGAGAAGGGGGAGAGGCTAATTATCTGACATCTACGCAGCGCTGCACCCCTCAGGAACAACATGCTGCTTGTTCCCGTTTGCGTTTTCAGTTAGCACCGTTGCTCCGCCGGAACAATCACCGTGTTGTTTTGCCATTAGCGTGAGATGAATAGGGATGGGACAGCTTTGTGTGAGGACCCCCACTCTTTTTCTTACCCCCTCCTCTTCTATGCAGAGACGTGGGCCCCGCATCACGGCCCTCACATGATCTCCAATCAACCCAGCAGACACCAGTTGTGTCATCTCTAGGCATGTGCTGGTATATGATTCTCACAGTATTGGTCTAAGTAGACGTATAGACAAGGGATACATTACTACGTTTGGTTTCTGTGAATAAGAAGTGAAGAGATTTCAGGAACCATTTGATCAAAACTCAAAAAAGTTTGGCTAAATTAAGGTGGTTGTAATGCTGACAAGTCCTAAAACTTTCTCTTTTTTTTATGTTTTAACATTTGGTTGAACAATCTAACGAGATTGGTGAATGCATTCTTTATTTTTAGTCTGATAAATAAAATTGAAACCATTTTGTAGCCTAAAAAAACAAGGTCAGAACCAAACTCAGCCATCTGTGCCTTAAAATAAACACCTTAAACCATCATCACTGTTAAACATGGTGGTTGCAGCATCATCCTGTGGGGATTGATTTTCTTCTTCAGGAAAGGGGAAGCTAGTTGAAGGTAAATGGATGTAATATGGAAAACAAATATACTAACTAGCTGATGTAAACCAGCCAACGGTTAGGCTAAAGCCTGCCGTTTGTTAAGAGTTTAGAATAACTTCCTTTAACACATCAGTTTTTTGGTCCAGATCAATCATAGTAGCTAATGTTGCTTTCTGAGCAAATACATTCCCAGCCTCTGATCCATAAATTAAGAAATATGTGAAAAGATTTAGGCAAATTTAGTAATTTTACTTACCGTCATTGTGCTAACTTTGAAGTACCCGCCATTCCTCCCAACTTGATCGGCACAAAAAATCGTGGCTATATTGACAACGTAACACCGGTCTTTGTCACATTACTACCATAAAGGATTTTCTTTCATACAATAACTGTTGGCTACTATATTTAAATTATAATGGGTTCGCAATTTTTATGGCAATGCAACATGAAGCATAGATGGTGTGTTAATTATTCATTTTATTAATAATATTGCCATCGCAAGATGTTCTAATAATGTTCAAGCCAAGCAGCAATTTCTTCCATGTTTTTTCTGCTTGGCTTATGAAATGCGCTTTTTTTATGAACAACATAAAAGATGTATGTATGTAGCGGCAGATGGCCACTCACACTGAGCCTGGTTCTGCTGGAGGTTTCTTCCTGTTAAAAGGAGTTTTTCCTCTCCACTGTCGCTACAAGCATGCTTAGTGTGAGGGATCGGATTCGAGTCAATGAGTCGATGTAATCAACTGGTTTTCCTTAGATAGAAAACATTGAATCAATTTGACTGTATGATCTGGTGAACTGTAAAGTGCCTTGAGACATCATGTGTTGTGAATTGGCGCTATAGAAATAAACTAAATTGAATTGAAATTGAATTATTTTGGAAATGTCGTTCGGCTGACTGGCAGTGTACACAGAAAGGTGAGGATAGGTGCAGCTCTACTTTATTTCAATTACTCCAAGGTTTTCAGTGGAAATTATTAAAAAGACTTGAAGGAGGTGGATGATTAACCAAAGCTACTTGAAACCCTGTTTCTGGCCCATTTGTTCTCATCTTTGTCTTTTTTTTTTAACAAATCTTGATTTCTGCTATTGACAATAATTAGATAGATCTGTAATAATAAGCTCCTTAACATTTCTGCCCATATGTTTTTTTGTGTTTTCAGTCCTGGTACCTGGGCGAGCTTAGTTCCATTCCAAGTGTCGAACGGGACTCCGATTCTGCCAACAAATGTCCACCAGAACTACAGCATAAACATCATTGGTGAACCGCTGGTCCCTGCTGAGAGCGGGAACTGAGCAGGCAGAGCGCTGGACCCACCTCCTCCCTTACCCAGGGTGGAAGAGTGGTGCAGAGCTAGCACTACAGGTGTCTGCAGCCATGGATGAAACCAGCAAAGCAGCAGGCGCTGCATAAACCCCTCCTCCTCATCCCATCTCCTTTTCTTCAGCCTCCTACTCCCAGTCTCGCCTCCTCCATCTTCTCGCTCCCACTCCTCATCCTCCTGATGATGATGGACAATGGCCCTGAAGTGAAGATGATGAGTGGGACGGCTCAGAGGAAGGAAGAAAAGCTTCAGGTCTGATGTCTTCTCGCACACATCCACCAACCCACCCACCAATCAGTTGTTGCGTTTGCAGGACTTTGTTCAATCCATCTGAATACTGTGATGTATAGATGCCTTAATGTTTAATTGCATGACACTCTAGACTCTTTAGCAGTAATTCCTACTTATTGTTCTACGTCAGAGGAAGGTGAAAACCATTTTGAACGGCCCACGCCGCATGCACGCTCAGTCGAAGGGGGTCTGCAGACAAATACCTGCCTGGTGGATGGCTCAGAGACTGAACGGATGAACAATTCACTGTGTACACCGTAGGAACAAAAACATGAAAAAAAATTGTGAATTCAGAGTGTTTTTTTTTTCTTCTTCCGTTTGATTTCAGTTTACTGTGATATGACTTTGTTTTTAAGGAAAAAAAATGTGTTGACTTTCTCTTTTCTGCTACTTATTTCAAGAACTAATGTAAACACTATGGAGAGAGTTAAAAACTCTCAATGCAGTTTTTGAAAAAAACAAAACACTAAATGCTTACAGTTTGAGATTTGACCCCTCCTTGTGAAAAAAAAAGACGACTAGCAAGTCAGTTTCAAAAGGAATGTAATAATAAGAGGATGAGGAAAAAAAAAGAAGAAAATTTGCGACAGAGGCAAGTGCAATTGAATTGTTTTTTTGAAGGGAAGCTATCAGTCTGACTGCCCTAAGACTCTAAAGGAAGGGGGATAGTTATTAAATGTTTAACAATTTGATTTCAGTCACATATCCATCTCTTCGCATGAGTAAAAAGCGTGAAAGGCAGTTTGAAGGCAAGCGTAAAGCTACCTGAGCAGCAGAAAAAAAAAAAAAAAAACAGCACTTAATCTGATCTGAGCACTTCCCATCTTGATGGGCATTTATTTTTTCTTAATCAATCTAAAACAAGTCAAAAAAAAGAACACGCACAGAGTGTGCGGAAAAGAGGCATTTAGTTTCAATTAAAAAGCATTTGGCCATCAGCTTATAAAGCTTATGTGTACAGTTATTATCCATGCAAATGTACTGTAATCTTCATGGATAAAGCTACAGCTTGTGCAAGGTATACTCTAAAGTGAAAGAGGCTAAAAACTGAAATTATGAATCCAGGTGGCATATCCCCGAAATCAAGATCTCTGCATGGCAATCCCACAGCTGTGTCCCCTCCAGTCCAGACACATGAAACCCCCATACACATGCACACACACGCACACACACACACACACACACGAGAAAAGAAAAATCTCTCCAATACTCCTAATTTTGCACGAAGACCTATAGTCCACATTACGTGCCTTGCCTTTGAATATAGAGACATCACTACAGTTGTTTTTGCTGCATTTATCATTATAGAGAGAGAAAAAGAAAATTAACATTTTTATGATAAGAATTGTTTTGTACTTTGAATGAAACTGTTGATTTTTAACTTCATGTACTACTCTATCTCACAGTTACATTGCATATCAAGGCTGTGTATAGTTGCCGTTTTTCAGTTTGTAATCTACCAGCATTTTTTTGCAGTATTTTGGTGGTTTTTTTCCGAATAACCTTTCATCCTTTGTTTTCTTCCATTTTCAATGCTCATTTCATTCATCTTCTCGTTACTATTGTGGAGGGTGGAATTCAGAAATATGAAAATTATGCAATACCAAGTTTTGCCTATGTAGGTAGTGCTTATAGATGTGTCAATTATTAGAGGCTAGTTTGGAGATAGAAAATATGGTAATGCATTTATTTTGTTGATATTGTCCGTCGCTGTTGCTGTTGATGATGTTGTTGTTGTTGTGGGTGATTTCCCTTTCTTTTTTTCTTTCTTTTTTTAATTGACCAAAGTGGGGACTGCTTTCTATGCAGTGTAAGGCAAGGTCATATTTTTTTCTTTTCTTCCAGCATTTACCGAATGACAGTGAGACATTTTCTGTGTGATATATTTTTCTTTTTTGGAAAAGGGTGAAGATTTTCTAGAAGTATAACAAAATTTAAATGCATCATTTAGGTCTTATTACGGCTGCAAAGTCACTATTAAGTCTACTGTGAGCAAGCATGACTCCGTTACCCTAATCAAGGTTTTTAAGTTATCTTTAAAAAAAATAAT